GATCTGCTTTTGATGTTTTCTTTTGAACTCCAGGGGATTCAACCCTATTTTAGTCTCCTGCAGCACTTAAGGAGAAGGCGGGCACAATCTCCTGCAGTTCCTCCCTTGCAACCATCTTCTTATTCTCTGCTCCAGATTTGCCCTCCAGGTTCTCCCCATCTCCGACCTCGGAGCTTCCTCCGGGCTATGGGGGAGGTGGAGGATTCCCCCGGGACTCTCCCTCCTCTCTGGGGATTTGTTCCTGGGGCAACGCGGCTCGTCCTGAGCACCGCTTCCCTCTGCCTGGCACCTGCGTAGTGAGGGGCGGCAGGGGAACATGGGATCCCGGGCTCTCCCACCCCCAGGACTCCGAAGACGGAACCTGCATGGGGACTTGGCTTCTCTCCCTTCCTTCTCTAGCACCAGGAACCCCCTGTTCCCCCCTCCCCTTTTGCACGTGGAGACACACTCACACACAGCCACTTACTCTGCCCACCTGTAATTCTCCCCCCTTTAAGACTTTCCGGCACCCATTCAAACCTCCTGCGAAGCCCAAAGGGTTAAATAGAGACGTCAGATCCAGTGACGTCACTTCCCTCCAATTCTCCTATGGTAAATCACCTCGGGCGTCCGCCCTCCAGTGGTCGAATGGGGAATCGCACGGCGTCCGGTTCTTGTTTTAGAGGGACACACCTGGTGGATTCCTGTGTGCATGGAAGGGGCTTATGCAAAGGGTGGAAACGGTGCCTTTTCCATCAGGGCCCAGAAAGGATGCGATTGTTCCCCCCCCCCCGATTAATAACCCTTCTTTATCAAATTGCTTCTAACTTTGTTACACCCATGTGCCCCCTTTCATTTTTAAGAAGGCTACATCCTTTTATACAGGGAGTGAAGGGACATGGAAGAAATCGGATTCAGGCTTCTTTTTACTCAAGAGATTCAAAATATGGAAAACAGAGTAACATAGTTGGAAGGGATCTTGTGTGTTGTGTAACCCAATTCCCTGATGGAGCAGGAAACCCTACACCATCACACAATGGTGGTATTCAAATAATTCTCTGCCTTAATGACTGAGTGGCTGGGCGTGGCTGGGTTGGCATGTCACTGGGTGGGCATGGCCAACTCGACATCACCCACATTGAGGGGTGCCTTGCGTAGGCCCCATTGCCTGGCTTCCAGAGCTCTTCTGGTCTTTGTCTATTAATTTGTCTACTACTATAGTGTCTGGTTGATTATCTAATGCAGGGGTGTCCAAACTTGGGAACTTTAAGACTTGTGGACTTTAACTCCCAGAATTCCCCAATTCTGGGAGTTGAAGTCCACAAGTCTTAAAGTCCCCAAGTTTGGACACTCCTGATCTAATGCATGATTATCCTTCGGGATCCGGAAATCCCAGAGATTCTTAACTCTATTCTCCACGATCTTCTGTGGAAACTCCTAGATAGCTGGCTGGGAAATTCTGGGAGTTAAACTTCATACGTTTCAGCTGAGAGATACTGATCTATCCCTTGAGTTCTATCTAGTATGGTAAATCCCTACTTCTATAGATCCGGTGCTTAGTGCCTGTTCTTGTGCTGTTATAATCAGTGATCAGTGCTGCCTTTTATACACAAACATACATACACACACGCAGATACACACACACCAGAGCAGGGGTCTCCACTAGTTAATTGTTCTGTCTGGAAATTTCTCCTTGGTTGTAGGCTAGATATCTCTTTGAAAACCTTTCATCTATTACTTATCTTACCATTGGTGCTTTGGAAAATTGGTTGACATCTTCTCTGTGACAGCCCCTCATGTATTGGAAGGCTCCTGTTACATCATCCCTTGTTCTCCTTGTTATGTTAGAACACAGTTCCTACAACTGTTCTTCATGTTTAGTCTCCTGCCCTCTAATCATCTTTATTGTTCTTCTTTGCAATATCTCTAGAGTTACTGCTGTTGAGTCAGATATCTCCTTTTCCATACAAGTATTTTTATCATTTTCTTGTTTAAGTTTAAAATCTGAGCTGCATTTTATTGGGTAGGGCCCAGTATTCAAATCTGTCAAGATCCTTCTGGACCTTGAGCCTATCTTCTAAATCAGTGATGGCAAACCTTTTTTGGCTCCCGTGCCAAAACCGGGGGGAGCACAAAGAGTTCGTGCGCAGGCATGCCACACCCATAATGCTATGCACGCGCTGCAACATTCATGTGCACGTGACCAGCAAACCCCCCTCCCGCTTTTGGTGCGTTTTTTTCATTCTCCCCAGGCTCCAGAGGCTTTCTAGGATCCTGCAGAGGGCAAAACAGCCCCCTCCCTTGGAGGCCCTTTGGAGGCTTCAGGAGCTTCCTGAAGTCTCTGGAGGGCATAGAACAGCCCTACGAGGAACCCAGAAGTTCGGGAATGGTGACTTCCGGTTTGCGCGTAGGGCCATTTTTTGCCCTCTGAAACCTTCAGGGAAGCTCCTGAAGCCTCCAGAGAGTCTCCAGGGGAGGGGGGCTGTTTTTGCCCTCCCCAGGGGCTTCCTGAAGGTTCTGGAGGGCAAAAAAATGACTCTATGAGCAAATCAGAAGTCACTTCCAGTTTGTCCGTAGGGCTGTTTTTAGTCCTCCGGAGCCTTCAGGAACCTTCAGGAAACTTCCCTGAAGGCTCTGGAAGACTAAAAATGGCCCTATGGACAAACCGGACTCCTGAAGGTCCCTGAAGATTCTGGCAGGCTAAAACCAGCCCTACGAGCAAACCGGAAGTCCGTTCCCGAACTTCCGGTTTACCCGGAGGGGCGGTCTTTTGCACTCTGGAGGCTTCAAGGAAGTTCCTGACGCCTCCAGGGTGGCGGAGGAGGCTGTTTACACCCTCCCCAGCTCCTATAAAGGCTCTCCTATAAAGGCACATTGGGGTTGAACATTGCATTATGGATTTGGCACATCCACGCGCAACCTTCTTGTGCGTCCCCTCTTTTGGCATGCAAGCCAAAAAAGGTTTGCCATCACTGTTCTAGGAGAACGGTGTGTGCCAACTTTCTACATTACCTTTAAGAACTACTCATTGAGTATGGTTTGTCAGCCAGTTACAAATCTATCTGGTGGTGATGCCATCTATCCTGCATTTTTATTCCACTTACTGTGTAGGAATCATACGTGATCTTATGAATATTAAGAAAATTTCTGTGGAGCATCAAAGCTCACTTTCTTCCAAAACAGCCACTCTGAAGGCTCTCCGGAGATTGAAGGAGCAAAGTCCTGTGAAAAGCAAATTCAAACCAACATGAAATCCTGACTATGCCTGTTCTGTTCCGCACTGCACATTAGTCTGTGTGCAGCTCAACATGCAGCAAAACCAACCTATCCTCCAATAAAACAGACCCTGTGCGTAGATCTGAATGCTTTATTGGGAGAACAGGGTATGGTGAAACTGAAGAAAATAAAGATACATACAGTGAGAGATAAGATACAAATACAAGATAGACAGCATAAAGCTACTGATGAATTTAACCAAACAACAAGCAGCTTGAACTTCACCAGTGATGCTCCATGTGAGGGGCGTAGGCCTGTCTCCAGATGACCATGTGTCACAGATCAAAGTGGCTGCTTTGGCCTTCTCCAAATGCCGAAGGAAAATGGAGTCAGGCTTCAGACAATTGAGTTGGGCCTATCTGTCTCTCCAGCCATGTTGTGGCATGTACAAGTTACATTTTGTGGAATGACAATGCCCCCACCCAAATACTTCCAAATATTTGAATGTTTTAAATGCAGCTAAAGAGAAAAAGCTCTTAATATATGACTAGAAAGTAACTATACCATTGATATTTAATTTTATTTAAATCAAATTTAGACGACTTCTTCTTAGTCTTCATCACACTTTAGAAGAGCGAAATATAGCTATTATACTTGAAAAAAGATTTTGCATATTGATTTGGGGAGCTTCTCATCATTCTAGGACCTTGAGAGAGGAATCCTTCATCCCATCAGCTCTTTTCACTCACTGTACATTGATGTACATGTGGCAATTCCCTCAGATTATGAGGCCTTTCACTAAATAAGGCTCCATGCGTCTCTATGCATAGTAACTGCCTCAGGTCACAGTTCTACAACGTGGATGCAACTTTTGAGTCTTTTGGAATTTTTCACATCACAGAGATGGCTCCCCATCTCTTTTGTGGTAAGGAAGATCAGAATTTGTTTTCTGAAATAGTTTTTTTTAAAAACTCAAGCTTATTTATTTTGGCCTTACTGATTTGTGATTGGCACCTTTCTTGCTTGATCGTTTGCAATGTTAGCACAGTGGCATCACTTTGTTATTTTCTTGAGTATCCCTAACTTGGGACAAAAAGAGAGGGGGTGTAATCATGAAAAATTAAAAGTAGAAAACCTCTTATTTGTCACTGTTAATGTAATATCACAATTACTCAATAGGACAATTCAATATCAAATTCCACTTCACTCTAAAGTTTGATGGAACTTGAATTCTTTGGATTGTATTTGTATATTTTAAAAAGCCTAGAATCTCTCTGCTGCTCTGTTCCAAATTTTCTGAGGATAGAGAAAAGCACTTTAATAAATTGGGTGTCTATTAATGAATGAGAAAGGGAAAGAATAAGAAAAAAAGGGAAATTTAAATCCTTTTGAGTGTGATCAAGTGGAAAGAACAAACAAGTGGGGAACAGGAATTCTACCGTTGAAAATAAATCGTATTTAAATTTAAATATAGATACCTTCAATAATCCAGGTCATAATAAAAATGGCACCTAGGAATTGTTTTTATTTTCATTAGTAAATTCATATCCCATGCTCAAACAATAGGAAGGATTGAGCTACAAAAAAATTCCTTTGCAAGCTCATTCCCTGTATATAGGAAAATTCATTAATGTAACTTTCTCGAATTAACATACATTCCCACCCAATTTCCCTGAGTATGGGAAATTAAGACATTTCTCCTCCTACAGCTCTCTCCAAAGTCCATGCATTTATCTTGGCTTCTCCCTGTGTGGATCTTTGATTCCTGCCACTTTTTCCACGTGCCCAGCATTTATATGGTTTCTCCCATGTGGCTCCTTTTATGGGAAGTAAGGTGAGTGATCTGACTAAAAGACATTCCACACTCCATACATTTAAACAGCTTCTCCCTTCTGTGGATCCTTTGATGGTATGTAAGAGAACAATTTAAAGTGAAGCCCTTTCCACACTCCTTGCATTTAAATGGCTTCTCCCCTGTGTGCATTGTTTTATGGCCAGTAAGGTGAGTGTTCTGACTAAAAGACTTTCCACACTCAGTGCATTTAAATGGCTTCTCCCCTGTGTGGATTCTTCTATGAATAATGAAGCCACTGAGTTGGCTGAAGCTCTTTCCACACTCCATGCATTTATATGGTTTCTCCCCTGTGTGGATCCTTTTATGAATAATGAGGCCACTGGATTGGCTGAAGCTCTTTCCACACTCCATGCATTTGTATGGTTTCTCCCCTGTGTGGATCCTTTTATGGGATTTAAGNTTTTCCTTTTTTTACTCCCTTTTGGCGGCAGTGTTTACCTTACTTTGTTTTGGAAGTTGTGGTTCCATTCTGTCTACTTTTTCTGTTTTGATTTTTTTTTTAGTGTTTTAAGTGTGTTTGGACTAAAGAATTTTTTTCCCTTTTTTCCTTTTTTTAATCTTCTTCCCTTTCTTCTTTTCATAACTATTTACATAGGAGAGATCCAAGAATTTTTGTTTTTACTTCTTATCTTCTTTTTTCTTCCCTTCCTGATTTTTGATCTTCCATATTATTGCATATTTTTCCCTTTCCCTTTCCCCTTTTTTCCTCTTGTTCTTCCTCATCTTCCACTTTCTGCTTCCTCATGGTTAAAAATCAAACACGAAAAGGAAGATGAGTAGAAAAATAGCAACTGTTCACTCCGCAACAACAACCCCTTCCTCTTCACCCGCAGGAGGGCAAAGATCAATATAGACAATGCTTCAACAGGAGAAGGAAAAGGACAAGGGTGTAACATTAGAGGCAATTATGCAAGGGATACAAAAACTGGAAGCCAGAGGAGAGAGTATTGAGAAGAGGATAGAGAATATAGAACAAAAGACAAGACAAGAAAAGCAAGAAAAAATTGAAACAATTCAACAATGGGTGATGTAATATGAAGACAGACTACAAAAATTGAAGAAAAGGATGAAGAAAGAGAGAAGAAAATGGAGAATATTGATGGTAGATTGAACACAGTGGAAAAAGACAGCAGCGGAATACTGGGATGGGAAATGGATCAGTCAGAATTCTTTTTAAGATTCCAAAACATAGAAGAAAAAGGTGAGGATTTGGCCCAAATAATATCAGAATGACTGAAAGATGTGTTAGAGATAACCCAGGAGAAGTTGATTGATGGCATAGATGAGGTGTTTCGAGTCTACACAAGATATGCAGTGAGAAATAGACTCCGAGGAAAGTCCATGTAAGATTTACCATGAAAATAATTAAATCACAAATTTTACAGAAAACAAGAGATAGAAAATTGGAATATAAGGGGAAGGAGGTTATAGTGCTGAAACAAATCCCAAAAAGAGTAAAAGAGACGAGAAGAACATATCAATTCCTGATTAAGAGTCTACTTAAGAAAGGTGTTAACTACAGATGGCTTATGCCAGAAGGTTTAATATTTATATGNGTTCAAGATTATTACTTTCATCAATATTTCTAAATAATAATTACAGTTAAATGAAAATGGATATATAATAATGTTTTAGTTAATATGAGTTATATTGGTTGACTGTGGAGGAGATGTACCAAAACATATCTGTAATTGATTGATACATTTTCTACAGATGTAAAGAAAGATGTGTTTTAAATTAAAATTAAAAAACATTTATTTAAAAAAAAGAAAAAGAAAACCTAAGATAGTTCAGGCGCAAAGCGAGGAGTGAACAGAGATTGTGTTGCTGGGTGAGATGATTCTTTTTTCTTTATAAACTATCCCAAAAATAAAAAAAATACAAGAAAAGGGACTCTAAAATATAACTGTTTAAAATGATGGAAGAAAATATTTTGAAAGAGATTTATGCTGAAAAGTAAATTGAGAGCATCGTGATGAAAGAAAAAGTGACTCCCAGACTCCTGGAAATTTACAGAGAAGAAAATACTTGATATTTGGTGGCTGTGATTTTTAGCTGTTTATTATTTTATGCTCACCAGAGGCAGAAATAAGAACGAAATTTTATAAAAGAGACATTGGGAAACTATAACAAAAGATTAAAACACAGAGTACATTTAAAGAACTTGGAAAACACCTTGGACTATCAGAACATTGACTAAATGCTAGAATGGGTTTATTTAAACAATTGACCCTGTTTTGAAAGAATTGGAGATTGAGTGAAATAAATATCTGCTGGAAAAAAGGCAGTGTGGAAGTTGGAGAGGAGAGTGCCACTTAACAAACCATATGTTTAGGGTTTTGGAACCTCTGAAGTTGATTGAGGATTGTTTATTCTACTTGTATTGTTATTATGACTGGAGTTGAAGGAACAGCTGTGGAAATGAGAGGATTTCTCAATGAGTTGACTTTGTTGTTTCTTAGTCGATGGTATGGATCAGAAAATGGAAAACACTTTGTATGAAACATGGAACAAGGACCAAACTGCCCACAAACTGGTCAAAGCAACAGTAAGAATGGATGAAACGGACTATTTAAGCTAGCAAATGGAACATGAACAGGGAAAAAATATGGATCAGAAAAATCAGCAAATAAAGCAACAGCTCAACGAAGAGGAACAACAGATAAATGATAAGCAAAAGGAGCGGAAATAACAGAGGTATTGGTCACATCAACAAATGAATCAAGGACTTGAGCCAAAATAGGATTGACAAATCAGCTGACAAAGGAAGAAAGACTGAAGAAAATAAAACAGATAAATCAACAATTGGAGAGACAGGAAGATGCTTTTGATAAGGAGATTGGGATATGGGCAGATAACTAGGAGAATTGGCAACGCAAGATTGTACTGGGAAGAAAGTTTAGATTAAACAAAGAACAGATACATAAAGATAGAGACAAAGGTGAAGAGTGTGGGAGGCAAATTTAAAAATGCGATAAAAATTGAAGCACTAAAGAGAAGAGATGATGGATTAAAAATTGCCCTTTAAACATTAAAGTAGCCTGAGTGTAAGCTAAGGAGACAGAGATAACATTAGTTAGGGGAAATATTAAAATATAAATTGTTTATAGAATGAATAAAACAATAGAAAGATTAGAAATTTACAGATGTTAGGCATTTTTATTTTTTATGTATGTTTCAATAATATAATGAAGATTATATAAATTTGATAAATATGATAGAGACTATTAACAATGTTAACGTGAATTGGATTAAAAAAAGTCAAACTTTTTTATATACGTATAATAGAGAAATGTCTAGACTGAACAAGGAAGATAGAGATGAAGATAGAGATAAAGATGAGGAGTTAGGCATTTCTTGTTTATGTATGTTTTAAAAATAAAATGAGGGTTACTAAAATTTGATAAATGAGATAGAAATTGCTAAGACTGTTATTGTGAACTGGACTAATATGAATGATACTCAGAACTAATTCTGTTCACACACAATACAGATGTATATTTAAAAAATAATAATAAAACATATATTTTTAAAAAAGAATTTATTTGCAAGCCAAAAGTGCCTTGACTAAAAACGTGTTGTTTTTTTTAAATTGTAATTGCCATTGTGAATATTTAGACAGTTTTCAGCATCCTTGCAAAAATCTAACTCAGAGTTAGGGAAAAAATGAGCATCCAGAAGGATTATTTGAAAAGTGTGTAATTAGCATAACTACAATTGTAATAATAATAATTGGAAACAATTAGCAGTTATTTAAAATACTGGTCTTAGAAGATTTTCTAAAAAGAAGCTGTTTCAACTTAAAATCTTGCTCAGGAACACAAAAATAAGCCAACCCAAAAAAGAAGGAAAAATGGAAGGACACTGTCTATGTACATCAGCTTGACTTTCTGAAGGAAAGGGAGCATACAAATCTAATAAATTAATTTCCTCTTACTTGAACTGGAGTTTCAACCATTATTTGAGTTCCACCACCAGGAAGGGTCAATTTCCTTCTATTCTTCCCTATGAGGGAGACAAAATTTACACTGCATAATTCATAACGTAGAAGTTCTATAGAAGAGAAGGCATAGAGAAGATGAAACAGCTGATATCTTTCTGGAGAGTGGGAGAACCTCGTATTACCTCTGGTCGTGACCATATTTGGATCCTCCTGAGAGATTCTCCTGAAAAACATTTCCGGAGATGAATTTGATGGATGCCTCCTTCCCTCAGGATCTCTGATCTCTACCATGAAGGACTTGAAAAAGCAGGCAGGAAACAAGAAGAAAAATGAATGGATAATACACATCAAAAAGTGGATTCTTCTTCTGTGAACACCCCTCCAAAGCCCCTGAAGGCTATCAATGACATTGGGAATTAGGAAAGGAACAACTATCAAAAATAAAAGAACAAGGTCCTACAAGAATTAGAAGTATCTCCATGTATAATGAATGCCAAAGAACTCTGGTAGGCGTGAGTTAAGAATTCAAACCCACTGTTAGATTTAGACTTAGACTAAATTTAAACTTAAATTTGGATTTAATGAATTCTGAGCTCCCAAATGAAGATCTCTCACCTGCCAGTCAATTCTCTCCTTCTGCTCCACCACCTGGCTCAGGAGATAACCTTCCACCAGGGCCACCGCCTGGGAGCTGGTCTCTGCTCCACACTCTCGTACCCAGCTCTCAATGTGCAGAGGCAGAAGTGCCAAGAACTGTTCCAAAACAACCAGGTCCAGTATCTGTGCTTTTGTGTGCTTTTCTGGTCTCAACCATTGACTACAAAAGGAATGGAGTTGGCTGCATAGTCCTCGCGGCCCTTCATCCTCCTGGTGCTGAAAGCTCCTGAACTTCCATAGCTGAACTTCTGAAAGGGTGGTTGTCTCCTCCAAGATCTTCTGACCAGTTCTTGCCCAGATCTCTTCATAGCTCCCAGGCTGGACACCCAAAGGGCCTTTTCCAATTTCCTCACTCTCCAAAGATTGGCTTTTCATTCTTTCTCTTCAAACACCTTTCTATTCATAGTACCATTGCTGTAGCTACAGGTCAGGGAAGACTTTCAGCCACCTCTGTCCAATTTTTTGCCTCCCAGAGAGGTAGTACAAGTAGTTTCCAATTCCTATATGTGAGATTAAAAGAATGTGGTGGATTAAGAACATTCCAATGGAAAGATATATGTTTCCAAGCTAGTACAGGTTTGCAGAGGCATTGAGCAGTTCACCCTTGTGCAGTAATATGTGTTTGTACAAAAACTGAGATTGATTTCCATCAAGGACTTGGAACACTGAATAAATGCATGTTGGATCAGTGTTTCAATTTCTTTTCTTCTCACAAAGTTAGGCTTGCTTTATAAAAAAAATAGATCTGCATTTACCTACAAAGGTTTTACCCAACATGCCAAACTCTAAACCAGGAAAGTTCCCTTTAAAAAAAAAATGAACCTGCTTTGGATGTTCCCTTTCTTCAGGGTTTGCTTTTGGAGAGCCAAATCACATAATTGCACAGAGGTAGGTTCAGAAAAATACCCAAACACAAACAGGCTAAGCAACTCTTCACAGGAGACACCCGGGGTTATTGATGTGCTGGTTCACTCACCCTCCCAAGAAAAATTGAACTCCCGGGGATCCAACCCTATTTAGTCTCCTGCAGCACATAAGGAGAAGGCGGGCACAATCTCCTGCAGTTCCTCCCTTGCAACCATCTTCTTATACTCTGCTCCAGATTTGCCCTCCAAGCTCTCCCCTTTTCCGACCTCGGAGCTTCCTCCAGGCTATGGAGGGGCGGAGGATTCCCCCGGGACCCTCCCTCCTCTCTGGGGATTTGTTCCTGGGGCGACGCGGCTCGNATGGCTTCTCCCCTGTGTGGATCCTTTGATGGGAAGTAAGCTGACTGCTTCTTCTGAAGCTCTTTCCACACTCCATGCATTTAAATGGTTTCTCCCCTGTGTGAATCCTTTGATGGACAGTAAGATTGCTGCTGTGTACAGATGTCTTGATGTATTTATAGGGCTTTCCCCCCATGTGAATCCTTCTATGAGATGTAAGATTACTCTCTTTGTTGAATCCTTTTCCATAGTGTATGCATTTATATGGTGCATCACATGTAAGAATTACTTTATGTCTCACAAGGGATGCAACCTTATGGAATTCCGAACCACAGTCCATGCATTTATATGGCTTCTCCTTGTGGTTCCTTTCCTGAGCACTCAAAGTCTTCCTTTCAAAGAAGCTCTTTCCATTCTCTGGATTCTCCCCAATGGGAAGACTTTTTTGTGATGTAAGAGACCCATTTTCCTGAGAATTGTAATTTTTTCCATTGTCTTTGGGTATATAATCCCGGCCTTTGGATGTGGATGGATAATGTTCATTTACCGCTGATGTGTCTTTGGATAGTTTTACACCTTTCCCCATATATTTCTTCTGTATTTTTCTCCCTTCCTCAAGAAGCTCCTGCATGTAAGCCTCAATGGAAGATGAGCTTTCTTTATTCCAATTATTTGAGGACTTTCGCCTGTGGAATTCCATTTGAATTGCAGGGTGTTCCATTACGTCTCCATGCCTGAACCCTTGGAATGATTCCCTTGACTCTTCATAGTCTTGCTCATTATCACCTTCAAGGGGAAAGAGAAATAAACAAGACAGCAAGTTTAAAGGAAAAGATCTATCAGTCAGAAGTCATCCCCCTTTAAACTCATCTTCAACCTCCTCTTTTTCTTCTTACAGAAAACATGTTTCACTTGCATTTTGTTTATTTACCAAAAATCACATTGAAGGGGGAAGTGTTCTTCTATTAAGCTTATGCTGCATGTTTGCAATGGGGAACCGTCACCATTTCACTCCTAATTCTAAGGCGCAGGATAGAAATAAAACAGAACTAATTAACCAACTTACTTGAATGACAAGACCTCATTGTAATAACACAGACTTATATATCACTTCACAGGACTTTACAACCCTCTCTAGGCGGTTTTCAGAGTCAGTATATTGCCCTCAACAATCTGGGTCCTTATTTTACTGACCTCAGAAGGATGGAAGGCTGAGTCAACCTTGACCCTGGTGGGATTTGTTCTGCGAAATTGCAGGCAGCCGGCAGTCAGCAGAAGTAGCCTGCAATACTGCATTCTAACCACTGCGCCATCACGGCTTCACGGGACTGATATGGAATTATATGGACCAAAAAAGCTGAAATCTGCGATAGAGTTTAACATTACATCAAGACAAGGAATGACTTTGCCACTGACATGTTTAAATAGAAATTACATTGGATGTTAAATGGCACAGGATGCATCCAAAGAGAACACCACGGATCTATTTCCTTCCTAGGACCAGGAGAACGACGTATTTCTACCTGCTTCCTCTCCAGAGATGACATCAATTTGAGATTTTTTAAATGAGAAACAGCCAGAGGTATCCAACTACAAAAAGTCTTCCTGAAGTCTCTGACTGCAGAGTAGGAAACACCCTTACCAAGAGAGGCCACGTTCCTGTAATTTTCCATCATGACTTCCCAATGCAGAGCTTTTTGGTCAGGATCCAGCTGAGACCATTCCTCCTTGGAGAAATACACAGCCACCTCCTCGAAGGAGACAAAGCCCTCCTGATGGGGAAAGAGAGTACACAGAAGGCCCAGGAGGAATTGTTAAAAAAAAGATCTTATCGCTTATAAATTCCCAAAGCAAAGCTATGCACTAAAGCTGTGATGGTAAACCTATGGCATGCAGAGCCATTTGTCAGGGTATGGGAGGAATTGCCCTGTCAGCTGACCAGCGTGCACAGCTGACTTCGGCCTTCTTTTAAGGCCATTTTTTGCCCTCCAGAAGCTTCCTTGAAGCCTCCGGAGGGCAAAAAAATGGCCCTACAGGCAAACCGGCGGTTCAAGAACGTACTTCTGGTTTGCTTGTGGGGGCAGTTTTAGCCCTCCGGAGCCTTCAGGAGGCTTCCCTGAAGGCTCCAGAAGGTAAAAAACAACCCTACAAACGCTTCCAATTTGCTCATAGGATCCTATAAAGTCCCTGGAACCTGGGGAGGGNAGAGGGACACACCTGGTGGATTCCTGTGTGCATGGAAGGTGCTTATGCAAAGGGTGGAAACGGTGCTTTTCCATCAGGGCCCAGAAAGGAGGAGGTTGTTTTCCTCCCGATCAATAACCTTTCTTTATCCAATTGCTTCTGATAGAGTTACACCCATGTGTCCCCTTTCACTTTTAAGAAGGGTTCCTGTAGAAAGCTACATCCTTTTATACAGGGAGTGAAGGCACCCAGAAGAAATAGGATTCAGCCTTATTCTTACTCAAGAGATTCAAAATATAGAATACCCAGTAACATTGTTGGAAGGGATATTTCATGTTGTGTAGCCCAATTCCCTGCTCCAGCAGGAAACCCCACACCATCGCAGACTAATGCCTGTCCAATGTCTTTTTGAAAAGCTTCAATGATAGAACACCAAAAACATCTGGAGTCCAGCTGTTCCTTTAGTTAATTGTTCTGTCAGGAAAGTTCTCTATGACAACCCCTCATGTATTGGAAGGCTCCTCTTACGTCAACCCTTGTTCTCTCTGTTTAGAACCCAGCTCCTGCAACTGTTCATGCTTTAATCTCCTAATCATCTTTGTTGTTGTTCTTTGGGATATTTCTAGAGTTCCGGCTATTGAGCCAGATATCTCCTTTTCCATAGAAGTACTTTTATTATTTCCCTGCCTGTTTAAAAGCTGAACTGCATAATTTTCGATAGGTGCCTGTGTTCAAATCTTTGATGATCCTTCTGGACCTTGAGCCTATCTTCTAAATCTAAAGCATTGGCTATTCACTCTAGCTTGGTTGTTTTTGGGAAAAGGAGGCACACAAAGGCTTCAGTAACAACAACTCTTTATTGCAAGTCAAGTAAACATCCGGAGTGAGAATGGTCTGGCAGCATCTGCCTGTATTGATCTTTGTCCTCCCACAGGTGAAGAGGAGGGAGTTGTTGTGGCGGAGCCAATGGTTGCTATTTTTTTACTCATCTTCCAGATTTTTTTCTTTTGTGTGTTTTAATCCACCTAATGTAAAATGAAATTGTGGTCCCACGTAGCCATGGGGAGGCCAAAAAATAAGAAATAAAACACTAAATAGGGGTTGGGGGCAGCAGAAGAGTCACAAAGAGAAAAGAGAAAAGGATACAATAATATAAAAAGCCAAAAGGGTAAAAATCTTTGGTCTCTTGTATGCCCTTTTCCAATTGGTTCTAATTAAAAAGGGGGAAAAATAAAAAGTAAAAAGTAAAAAAATAAAAAGGGGAACAAAACAAAAAAATAAGGGAGAGCAATTCCCAAATCAAAATATAAAAATATGAAAATACAAAAGTTACAAATAGAAGGGAAAAAAGAGAAAAAAGAGAAGTAGAATATTTAAGTGTTCCTTTGGTGCAGTCCACTTAAAACAAGCTCACAAAGTGCCTCAATATAAAGTAAAATTTAAAAAGTAAAAGGAAGACGGAAAGGAGTCCTAGCTTCCATAACAGAGTAAGATTAACACTGCCACCAAAGAAAAAGAAAAAGGAATTCAAAGCTTTTGTAGTGTGAAAGCCTTTTCAGGGTCACTCTGAGCTTTCCCTTAAAGTTTTTATTTATACTTTCAAAGTGGGTTTCCAGGCATTGAAAGTTTCCCAAGGGACACCTGTATAAACAACTCTGTTCCTCTCACTATCAAGCCTTAGAAAGATAACCTTAAGAAAAACAGCTTCTCTCCAGACATTCATGCAAAAAATAAAAACATTGTTTCATTGTGGCAGTGATACTTGTTTCTCACTCAGTCTTTGTCTCTTACACTCCGCCTTTTACTTTAAAAAAATAAAATAAAATGGAAAGCCAAGAAAAGAAAATATATTAACTCATTAAGTAAAGGTAAAAAGAGAGAAACTTTTAAATAGTTCAAACTTAGTTGTATCAATTTTTCCAAAGAATCCAATAAATAAAGTAAGAAAAAAAAGTGCAAAGAATCATTCCACTTTAAAACGTAAATTGCAATGAAAGTCCAATCCGGCTTCCAGTAGTAAAAAGGGGAAACCTTCAATTGACCATGCATTAGATCCGCCACTTACTCTCTCATCAGTCTTTATTTTTAATAAAACCTCCAAATTTAGGGTGTTCTCTCTCCAATAGAAAAAAAGAATTTAAGGAAGAGGGCGTGATGTTGCTGTGGAATGGTCAGATTTTCCTGGAGTCCCAGGATTGCCGCCCAATTCTGGTTGTTTGGATGGTCCATTCAGACCTAAACCGTCCTGTAGAGACGGTGATAGGTAGGGGTACATCCTGTCGATCCCAGAGACACCCACAATGTCTCTGGTGATCCGGGAAAAAGCCCCCCTTGCCAGCGACTAAGAGTCAGCCTCTCAGCTGCTGAAACTGCTGACCGCCCCGAACCTAAGCGCTAAAGAGAAGCATGTCAATTTGGTGAGAGTTTTATTTTATTTTTCTTTGGAGAGAGAATATCCTAAAACTTGGGACATTCTACTTAAAGAAAAAGACTGATAAGAAAATAAGTGGCGGATGTAAGAAATAGTTAATTGAAGGTTTCCTTTTTTTTCCTTTTCAATGCCGGAAGCCTGACTGGACTCAAGAAGCTATTTGAAGCGATTTGATTTGGACTTGGACTAGCTCTTTGTACTTTTCTTCTTACTTATTCTGTTGGACTTTTTTTTTTGAATTATTGTTCCAATTAAGTTGGAACTGACCTAGAATATTTTCCTTTTTTATTAATCATGTCCATTTTTCTTAGAGAACGTTAAAGACAGAGTGTAACATTGTAACAAGGGTTGGGATTGAAACAAGTATNAGGCAAAACAAAACAAAACAAAACAATACCTAAGTGTCAACTTCAATCCACAAATCCTCGATATTTTGTAATTTTTTCCAATTGTTTTCCCTTAATCTTAGCATCACCCAGAATAGAAACATAAATAAATCAGATTCATTTCTTTTCAGTCTGTTATATCAGACATGTTATGAACAAAATGCCTCTCTGATTGGATCTTAAAGTTCCATTAGATCTTAACTGGATCATTTTCAAAAACTTTCTTAACTTGAGGTTCCCACTATTTTTTACTATATCCAATTCAAAACCTCTGGCAAAGTTTTCAATGAACAATTCTGGCAACTTAATCATGACACTGCTTGCAGTCAGTTTGTGAAATTTTGCTGCAGCCACTGATCAGTCAATTATTTCATCCTTTTTTACTACAAAGGTGATATTTGCTGTTGTTTGTTACATGTTGAATTTTGACCTTCATACAACTAATTCACAAAGCTTGTTGTTGAACTGCCAAAATAAAACCTTCGGTTTCTTATTTAATACTCCATGTGGGTGTTGTGTTATATCAGCTTTTCCTCCTCCTCATATATTGGCTTGTTCTTCCAATTAACAAATTGGTTTTCATTTCTTTTCTGTATTTAACCTTCACCTTTGCTGATTTCAAAAGCTTTCCTTGACTGACTTCTTCAGCAAAGGTTATTGGTTTTTCTTCATGTCAGGCCATGCTTATATCAATATTATGGCTTGTTGTAGTCAGCCAGATAATTAGACTGCATTTGGCATTTTTATCCACCTATTGAATGAAGGATCAGGGATAGGGAGGTATTGTTTGATGTTATTAAAGGTATCACAGGAAGTGAGCTATTCCAAGTATAGCTGTCTTTTGCAATTAACTAATGGAGATTTTGTCAATGCTGGTGTTCTCCAGTCTGCTCCAGATGTTTTGGAATTGCACCTATTATTGTTGATACTATCTTTGCTTTGTTTTGCCATAGTCCTATTTTTATTTGCAGTACCTTCTCCAGGTATTGCCGTGGGCACTATCCAGACTTTTTTGTCTTCACCATCATAGTCAATTTATTTTCAGAATATTCAATTGTTCCCATTATATTGATTCAATTAATTAAAATATTTAAGATTGCCTCTTAAGATCAAGTCCTCATTAAGTCCTCTCATATAAATACATTACAACAATAAAATATTAGAAACATTAAAAAGGCAGTGGAAATGATAAATGCAACATTCAATCGATAAAGCAGCTGAAATAAACTTACCCAAAAATGAAGTTTATAATAAATTTTTAATCTGCAGTTACACTTTTACAGTAATGGGGATAGGTAAACCATCACTGGATTACAAATCCAGAAACATGAGACCAGCGTTAAAAGACTCTCTTAATCCTTTGTTGGAACCAAGAAGCACAGGAGTTGCCCTTGAATAATTAAAGTATATGAAACTTATTTAAGCAAAATGCCACACATTCCATAGTGTTTATGGGCATAAAGCTAATAAGAAATATTTAGGTTTCTGCAATTAGTACAGCATTATAGATTCTACCGAGTCTATTCCCACCCAACAAAAGGTATACATACAGGGTATCCCAGATGTTCTACTATCTCCATAGTAATCTTGTCTTCCAGATTTGTGGGGCTTCAATTTCCGTAATACCAAGTACTCACCAGCTGTTGGGAGTTGAAGTCAAAATATACAAGTTGCTAGTGGTGAGCTGAAGCAGGATCGGCTCGCGCGGTTCCAGCTGATCAGCGCGGGCTGTGAAACTCAGCTGGAGCTCCGCCGGCCTCCGCAGTCGCCGGCAGCGGCACACGGGGCCTTGGGAGGTGGAGGAGGAGGAATCAGCTGGAATTGGGGCGCTGCCGGAACTCTGCTGAAGCCCCGGGATCTGCGCTCACGGCTCCAGCTGATCGGCGCTGCCGGCAAAGGACCC